AACCCGAGAGTACCAGGAAATACAAAGTTAAGGTACACACCATCCCTGTGTGGAGTGGGGGAGCTGTTGGGGCTGGAGTAGCCTGGAGGGAAGGTGGACTGAGCGGGCCAAGGGTATGGAAGAGGAGCCTTGACCAAAGCAGGAGAATAGGGAGTCTGTTGGATGGGGAAATGTAAGAGGTGTACAGGGCTCCATGTACAGCTCGGGCTACAAAAATCAAGGAGGCGGGCAGCCCTCCAATAATCTGCCTGATGTGTATGCAGCAGCAGGGTGTGCCAGACTTATGTTCTAATAGCTTCTAAAGTGCTATGGCTTAATGGGTCAGGAATGGGAGGGTAAGCTGGGAATGGTGATAGGGGAGCCTGTATGTTGTGGGAGAGGGGGAGGGGAAAAGGAGAGAGACATGAGTCTTTGCTCATGTGCTTAGTTACTATATCTGCCATGCAATGAAACTCTCAGTTTCTCTCACTGTCCCTATTAGCAACTATACATGCAAAATATTTCAAAGCATGACCATTATCCCTACTCTACTATAGCAAAGTCTATAGAGGGGGGTATTTACGATCTCACACAACCATGTTGGGCCTAGTGGAGAGAAAAGTGGGCTGGGACTCAGAAAACCTGGGTTCTGTTCCCAACTCTCACTGACCTGCTAGGTGACCTTGGCCTAATTGCTTTACCTCTCAGTGCCTCAGGTTTCCCATCCGTACCTTGAGGATAATGATGTTTCCCTCTTTGGTAAAGTGCTTTGAGATAATTCACTGACACAGAACCCCTCATTAATGCAGAATTAAGGTTGCCCAGTTATAACCTGTGCTCTTCGGAGCATTGAGTTCAGCAAAACTCAAACTTGTGATAACCAGGTAATGAAGAGTTCAGCTACGCGTCCGCGCGAGCTTACCTGTGCCCTCTTTGAACAATGCCGCAGTGCGCTCAGAACATCCATACTCACAATCTGGCTTTGCACTGTACAAGAGCTACCCACACCTGCCCTACTTCATTGTAGCCTGCTCCACAGAAAACAACCACATCTGCTAAATTTTACAACCTCTTCAGCCCCTTCACTATTATGCACAAGTTGCCACCTAACACGATCCTTTCACTTATTCTTCACTAAATTCACAAACCACACTCCTATCCCACCTAACTTCTGACATTTCCCATCCATGGCCAGAAGACCCAAGTCCTGCTGCTGACACAACCTACACAAGGCAATGCTGAAATGAGGCACCTCTTTCTTTTGATCTCTCACACACAAGTCAGGGAGAAGGGCTCACACACCCCTCGGAGAGGCATGGCCTTTAAATCGCCTCATATCACAATCACAACTCTGCTAAACTGCTCCAGCTAATCCCTTCGCTGTTCAGTACGGTTACACCTAACAGAGTGAATGCAGCTGGAATGCAAGCAAATAATTCCCAGAACCTATTGCCAGCTCTAGGGAGAGAGAATTAAGATTGTATGGAGATGTACCTTAACTCTGTTTCCTGGTTTTCAGAAGGTTGAGTTTTGCTGAATTCTATGTTCTGGAAAGGCACAAGATGCCATTGGGCAATCTTAACTCTATCAATTACTTTTTTTGGTCAGTGAATATAATTGTCAGTCAGCATGGTTTCATGGAAGGTAGCTCTTGTAATCCTGTCCAAAAAAAAGACAACGGTTTTTTTTTACGGGTCTAGTTGATGAAGGCAACCGTGTTGATATAGTATACTTGGATTTCTCCTGGGCTTTAACTTAGGACCACATGACTTTTTTTTTTTAAGTTGCATTATATAACATTAACAGAACACACGCTAGATGGATTAAAAACTGGATCGCAGACAGATCTCAAAATGTAGTTAATAGAGAGATACCACTGAGCAGGACTGTTTCCAGCAGGGTCCCCCAAGAATCAGGTCTTGGTCCTACTCTGTTAAATATTTTTATTAGTGATCTAGATAATGATATGAAATCTTAGCTGGTGAAGTTTGTAGATGAGACACAGACTGGTGAGACAGGTTACTGTTGTAGAGCAAGCAAGCTGAATCACTTGGCTAAATGGTCACAATCCCAATAATGTGCTCTAATACAGTCTAATCAAGGTAATGGATCTGGGAATCAATAACACAGGTTATCTACAGCAGTGGTTCTTCCAGGGGGCATATCAACTCATCTAGATATTTGCCTATTTTTACAACAAGCTATATTGAAAGCACTAACGAAGTCAGTACAAAGTAAAATTTCATACAATGACTTGTTTATACTACTTTATATACTATACATTGACATGTAAGTAGAATATTTATATTTCAAATGATTTATTTTATAATTACATGGTAACAATGAGAACGTAAGCAATTTTTCAGTAACAGTGTTCTGTGACAGTTTTGTATTTTTATGTCTGATTTTGTAAGCAAGTAGTTTTTAGGTGAGGTGAAACTTGGGGGTACACAAGACAAATCAGACTCCTGAAAGGGGTGCAGTAGTGTGGAAAGGTTGAGAACCACTGATCGACAGGATGAGAGATTGTCTTGGAAAGCAGTAACTTAGAGGGATTTAGGGCTCATACATAATCAACTCAATCTGCTCTCTCAGTGGAGTGCTGGGCCAAATAGATTTTATGGAAAGAAAACCCACAATACTTTCCTCTGAAGCATCAGATTGATCTAAACCAGAGATGGGATACCAGGCAGGGTGGACCACCTCTGAGGTAATACAGAGAATCCTTTCTAGATGCCCGGCTGGTATATCTTGCTCACATGATTCCACCTTCTTCTGTAGATAAGGTGTGGTCTGCCTACTCGGATCATCTGGGCATATCTCACCTAATTATTTCCTGCTATTACAGGGGCCACAGACTTTGGCACATTTAACAAAATCTACAACCTATGTTTATTCAATGTTACAGTTGCACAATTAAAATAAAAATATACATCACAAAATAGTCAGGATGTGGAACATGGCCCAGTTGTGAAAACCTGAGGTCTTGCATTTTCTAACATTATTGTACTTTGTTTGACTTTTAACATTACGTGAACATCCCTTATTTTTTGTCACCTTGCAATATCAAGCTTATGCAGGGTATGCACTGGTAAAAGGTCAACTTAAAATGCTCTTTGAAACAAAAAATTCCTAATTGTCCTAAACCCCCAATTAAATACAGTGTGAAGAAACCCCCAATTAAATACAATGTGAAGACTGAAAGAGTGAAAATGAAAACACTGTGTAATAAGGCATATAGTTGTTCTTTCACTTAATTGCCAAGACCTGAGTTGAAGCCCTCAGGATTCTTTTGCAACAATTAATGATATCACTATCACTCTATGAAATAAAAAAGCATACAAACTGATATAAATTTAACATTTTTAAAAGCTAGATTCAGCCATCTGGTGTAAAGAAGATGATTTTAATGCTATGCTAATATTTATTTCTCTTTTGGACCTGTTTGAAGGAACTATCTTATAGCAGCTCGATTTAAATATGGCCCTAATTTAAACAGAGGCCAAAGCTTACCCTGATGATGCATGACAAAGCAGGAACAGCATGGTAGTATTTAATCAGCTGCAACTCCCAGGACCGGGCTGAAGTGTGACCAATTATCTTTTAATCTGTAGCATTTGTAATACACCAGCTCCCAGCACATTAGAAATACAGGAGAGCTAGAGGCTGGCAATATTGTGAAATTAGGGTGTCTTAGCAAAAACCCCCGTCCAGAATCTTTGACCAGAGATTCTCTCTGTTAGCAAGTTGTGCATACACCTCTAGCCCGATATAACATGAATTCGGCTATAACGCGGTAAAGCAGCGCTCCGGGGTGGCAGGGCTGCACACTCCAGTGGATCAAAGCAAGTTCGATATAACACAGTTTCACCTATAACGCAGTAAGATTTTTTTGGCTCCCAAGGACAGCGTTATATCGGGTAGAGGTATACAAAAGAGCAATGAAAAAAGAAGAGGTGCATTTAGGTTAGAATGATCATACAGCTTTGATTTCATTGTTTTTTCTTGGTTAAGATTAATAATACAAGGATCTTTCTTTTTATGCCAAATCATGTAACTATGCTGAGGTACTTTCACATATGGACTAAACTCGGATTTCCTCCTACATACAGGCTTTACACGGCAACACATGGCTATCTTGAAAAGATAATGCTACAGTGACACAGCAGTTTTTTGACCTCTTTAGCTCTGCTTTTTCTATTACTCTTTACTCTGTAACATGGCATAACCGAGTCACTTCATTCTCAGGGCCGTGCTTCCCATCATGAGCTCTTACGTTTCCTTTTAAGATCTAGGGCCGTGGAAGGAAGAGGAACAGCTGTAGTAGCCATTATTCCTACAAAGGATGAGGCAGGTACAATGCCCCTGGGGAGTGCTACCCTGTTTCCCCGAAAATAAGACATCCTCCGAAAATAAGGCCTACTTACAGTTTTGCCTCTCGTTGTAATATAAGGCATCCCCCCGATAATAAGACCTCCCCGATAATAAGGCATTC